TGAGTCCTTCCCCAGTACCCGGTAACTCCTTTAATACCAGTAAGTCCTTCCGGTAACTGGAGGTCTTCTGTTTGGTATTTCCTGGTATCTGGTCCTTAAGGTATCGGCATCATTATCTGGTACCATCGTAGAATAACCTCTCTCCTCCCTCCCTAACCTAACCTAACCTAAAGCTAACCTAACCTAAAGCTAACCTAACCTAACCTCTCCCACCCTATCGCCCCCAGGTAACGTGTGGGTGTAAACTCATCAGGTGAAAAATAAGCTCAGGTGACTAATCTTCAGGTGATCCCTTCCTCCAAGCGTTACAGTATTAAAGATGGTAGTGCTGGTATTAAAGATGGTATTGCTGGTATCAAAGATGGTATTGCTGGTATCAAAGATGGTATTGCTGGTATTAAAGATGGTAGTGCTGGTATTAAAGATGGTAGTGCTGGTATTAAAGTTGGTATTGCTGGTATTAAAGATGGTATTGCTGGTATTAAAGTTGGTATTGCTGGTATTAAAGATGGTATTGCTGGTATTAAAGATGGTATTGCTGGTATTAAAGATGGTGTTGCTGGTATTAAAGATGGTATTGCTGGTATCAAAGATGGTATTGCTGGTATCAAAGATGGTATGCTGGTATTAAAGATGGCAGTGCTGGTATTAAAGATGGTAGTGCTGGTATTAAAGCAAGTTGCTGGTATTAAAGATGGTATTGCTGGTATTAAAGTTGGTATTGCTGGTATTAAAGATGGTATTGCTGGTATTAAAGATGGTATTGCTGGTATTAAAGATGGTGTTGCTGGTATTAAAGATGGTATTCTGGTATTAAAGATGGTATTGCTGGTATTAAAGATGGTAGTGCTGTTATTAAAGATGGTATTGCTGGTATAAAGATGGTATTGCTGGTATAAAGTTGGTATTGCTGGTATAAAGTTGGTATTGCTGGTATTAAAGATGGCATTGCTGGTATAAAGATGGTATTGCTGGTATTAAAGATGGTATTGCTGGAACAAAGGTATTGCTGGTATTAAAGATGGTATTGCTGGTATTAAAGGTATTGCTGGTATTAAAGATGGTATTGCTGGTATTAAAGATGGTAGTGCTGGTATTAAAGATGGTATTGCTGGTATCAAAGATGGTAGTGCTGGTATTAAAGATGGTATTGCTGGTATTAAAGATGGTAGTGCTGGTATTAAAGTTGGTATTGCTGGTATTAAAGATGGTATTGCTGGTATTAAAGATGGTATTGCTGGTATTAAAGTTGGTATTGCTGGTATTAAAGATGGTAGTGCTGGTATTAAAGATGGTATTGCTGTATTAAAGATGGTAGTGCTGGTATTAAAGTTGGTATTGCTGGTATTAAAGATGGTATTGCTGGTATTAAAGATGGTAGTGCTGGTATTAAAGATGGTATTGCTGGTATTAAAGATGGTAGTGCTGGTATTAAAGATGGTATTGCTGGTATTAAGGATGGTAGTGCTGGTATGTTGGTATTGCTGGTATTAAAGATGGTATTGCTGGTATTAAAGATGGTGCTGGTATTAAAGATGGTAGTGCTGGTATTAAAGATGGTATTGCTGGTATTAAAGATGGTAGTGCTGGTATTAAAGTTGGTATTGCTGGTATTAAAGATGGTATTGCTGGTATTAAAGATGGTAGTGCTGGTACTTAAAGATGGTAGTGCTGGTATTAAAGATGGTATTGCTGGTATTAAAGATGGTAGTGCTGGTATTAAAGATGTAGTGCTGGTATTAAAGATGGTAGTGCTGGTATTAAAGATGGTATTGCTGGTATTAAAGTTGGTATTGCTGGTATTAAAGATGGTATTGCTGGTATTAAAGATGGTATTGCTGGTATTAAAGATGGTAGTGCTGGTATTAAAGTTGGTATTGCTGGTATTAAAGATGGTAGTGCTGGTATTAAAGATGGTAGTGCTGGTATTAAAGATGGTAGTGCTGGTATTAAAGATGGTAGTGCTGGTATTAAAGATGGTAGTGCTGGTATTAAAGATGGTAGTGCTGGTATTAAAGATGGTAGTGCTGGTATTAAAGATGGTAGTGCTGTTATTAACGATGGTAGTGCTGGTATTAAAGATGGTATTGCTGGTTAAAGTTGGTATTGCTGGTATTAAAGATGGTATTGCTGGTATTAAAGATGGTAGTGCTGGTATTAAAGATGGTAGTGCTGGTATTAAAGATGGTAGTGCTGGTATTAAAGATGGTATTGCTGGTATTAAAGATGGTAGTGCTGGTATTAAAGATGGTAGTGCTGGTATTAAAGATGGTATTGCTGGTATTAAAGATGGTAGTGCTGGTATTAAAGATGGTAGTGCTGGTATTAAAGATGGTAGTGCTGGTATTAAAGATGGTAGTGCTGGTATAAAGATGGTAGTGCTGGTATTAAAGATGGTATTGCTGGTATTAAAGATGGTAGTGCTGGTATTAAAGATGGTAGTGCTGGTATTAAAGATGGTATTGCTGGTATTAAAGATGGTAGTGCTGGTATTAAAGATGGTAGTGCTGGTATTAAAGATGGTAGTGCTGGTATTAAAGATGGTGGTGCTGGTATTAAAGATGGTGCTGGTATTAAGGATGGTAGTGCTGGTATTAAAGTTGTTTATTGCAGATTCCAAGTTTGTTTGTTTGTTTGTGTGTTTGTCTGTTGTTTGCTGGGTGTATACGAGTTTGTTTGTTTGTTTGTTTGTGTGTTTGTCTCTGTTGTTTGCTGGGTGTATGCGATTGTTTGTTTGTTTGTGTGTTTGTCTGTTGTTTGCTGGGTGTATGCGAGTTTGTTTGTTTGTTTGTGTGTTTGTCTGTTGTTTGCTGGGTGTATGCGAGTTTGTTGTTTGTTTGTGTGTTTGTTCTGTTGTTTGCTGGGTGGCGTGAGTTTGTTTGTTTGTTTGTGTGTTTGTCTGTTGTTTGCTGGGTGTATGCGAGTTTGTTTGTTTGTTTGTGTGTTTGTCTGTTGTTTGCTGGGTGTATGCGAGTTTGTTTGTTTGTTTGTGTGTTTGTCTGTTGTTTGCTGGGTGTATGCGAGTTTGTTTGTTTGTTTGTGTGTTTGTCTCTGTTGTTTGCTGGGTGTATGCGAGTTTGTTTGTTTGTTTGTGTGTTTGTTCTGTTGTTTGCTGGGTGTATGCGAGTTTGTTTGTTTGTTTGTGTGTTTGTCTGTTGTTTGCTGGGTGTACGAGTTTGTTTGTTTGTTTGTTTGTGTGTTTGTCTCTGTTGTTTGCTGGGTGTATGCGAGTTTGTTTGTTTGTTTGTGTGTTTGTCTGTTGTTTGCTGGGTGTATGCGAGTTTGTTTGTTTGTTTGTGTGTTTGTCTGTTGTTTGCTGGGTGTATACGAGTTTGTTTGTTTGTTTGTGTGTTTGTCTCTGTTGTTTGCTGGGTGTATGCGAGTTTGTTTGTTTGTTTGTGTGTTTGTCCCTGTTGTTTGCTGGGGTATGCGAGTTTGTTTGTTTGTTTGTGTGTTTGTCTGTTGTTTGCTGGGTGTATGCGAGTTTGTTTGTTTGTTTGTGTGTTTGTCTGTTGTTTGCTGGGTGTATGCGAGTTTGTTTGTTTGTTTGTGTGTTTGTCTCTGTTGTTTGCTGAGTGCGAGTTTGTTTGTTTGTTTGTGTGTTTGTCTCTGTTGTTTGCTGGGTGTATGCGAGTTTGTTTGTTTGTTTGTGTGTTTGTCTCTGTTGTTTGCTGGGTGTATGCGAGTTTGTTTGTTTGTTTGTGTGTTTGTCTGTTGTTTGCTGGGTGTATGCGAGTTTGTTTGTTTGTTTGTGTGTTTGTCTGTTGTTTGCTGGGCGGCGAGTTTGTTTGTTTGTTTGTGTGTTTGTTCTCTGCTGTTTGCTGGGTGTATGCGAGTTTGTTTGTTTGTTTGTGTGTTTGTCTGTTGTTTGCTGGGTGTATGCAAGTTTGTTTGTTTGTTTGTGTGTTTGTCTGTTGTTTGCTGGGTGTATGCGAGTTTGTTTGTTTGTTTGTGTGTTTGTCTGTTGTTTGCTGGGTGTATGCAAGTTTGTTTGTTTGTTTTGTGTGTTTGTCTGTTGTTTGCTGGGTGTATGCGAGTTTGTTTGTTTGTTTGTGTGTTTGTTCTGTTGTTTGCTGGGTGTATGCGAGTTTGTTTTGTTTGTTTGTGTGTTTGTCTGTTGTTTGCTGGGTGTATGCAAGTTTGTTTGTTTGTTTGTGTGTTTGTCTGTTGTTTGCTGGGTGTACGAGTTTTGTTTGTTTGTGTGTTTGTCTCTGTTGTTTGCTGGGTGTATGCGAGTTTGTTTGTTTGTTTGTGTGTTTGTCTCTGTTGTTTGCTGGGTGTATGCGAGTTTGTTTGTTTGTTTGTGTGTTTGTCTGTTGTTTGCTGGGTGTATGCAAGTTTGTTTGTTTGTTTGTGTGTTTGTCTGTTGTTTGCTGGGTGTATACGAGTTGTTTGTTTGTTTGTGTGTTTGTCTCTGTTGTTTGCTGGGTGTATACGAGTTTGTTTGTTTGTTTGTGTGTTTGTCTCTGTTGTTTGCTGTGTATACGAGTTTGTTTGTTTGTTTGTGTTTGTCTCTGTTGTCTTGGTGTATGCGAGTTTGTTTGTTTGTTTGTGTGTTTGTCTCTGTTGTTTGCTGGGTGTATGCGAGTTTGTTTGTTTGTTTGTGTGTTTGTCTCTGTTGTTTGCTGGGTGTATACGAGTTTGTTTTGTTTTCGTAAGTATAGTTTTAGGTTAGGTTTATCATGGAATAGTTTATGTAGTGTAGTGAATAGAGCAATTACTACTATTACTATTATTCTATTGCTAACTATTGATACTACTACTACTGCTACTACTACTACTACTACTACTACTACTACTACTACTACTACTACTACTACTACTACTACTACTACTACTACTACTTTTTAAATTATGGCCTCAGCCCCCCCAATACCACACCTTCGCCGCCGTTTTATTACCTTAATATTAACTATCCTAATACATAAGTAACTATCCTAGCTGTGTTGAGTTAGTTGAGCCGCAGGTCTATGTGGCATTCTACTACTACTACTACTATTACGACTAAAAATTTTATTACTTCTATTGTTATTACGACTACTATTGCTATTACTATTACTACTTGTTTAATACCCTTTCATTATTTCCTAAAGAAGAACACGTAACCTCCCACCTCCTCTTACCCCTCACCCTCCCCCCCTCTCACCCTCCCTCACCCCCACCTCCTACCTCCTCACTGTCCTCTCTCCCACTCCTCCCTCCCTCCTCCTCCCCCTCACCCTCCTCACACCCCCACCTCCTACCTCCCTCACTGTCCTCTCTCCCACTCCTCCTCCCCCTCACCCTCCTCACCCCCACCTCACTCTCTCACCATCCCCCTACCTCTCCCTTCTCTCTCCATCCTCCTCACCCTCTCCCTCCCTCCATCCTCCCTCACCCCTCCCCTCACCCCTCTCCCTCACCCCCACACACACAACACTAACGATGCCTTCAACATTTACATAAAAGAGTTCCTTCATTTTTATTTTGTGAACAAGTTTACCCCAAAAATTATAGATATATTTCTTTCATTTTGTCTCTCAGTGATGGACGAAGATGATAAATGAAATTGAAATAGATTTTTTTTGGCGGGGGTGGAAAATAAATTGATGAAAGTAAACAGGGTATTCGGGTTTATTTCCGGGTTGTATATATGGATGAAAAACAGTGTATGCACCCTTATTTCCGGGTTGTACTGGACTATACAAAGAAGAGGTGTATATATGCTGGAACTATGAAGTGTATTTATAAGTATAGGAATATGTATTATAAATGGATATATACATTGAATACACATACATATACACTGTACATACATACTGTAGGCAGCTACCAAACAGGGAGGTACTACTGCCTGGGAAGATATTGGAAACATAATGTGTTGTCTAATGGTAGACCCAGCTGCCATATGTGACCAAGTCCCAGGTTGATGATCTGACTTTCTGCCTCATTTACACACAGTTGCAGGTCTCAATTGTTTCTCTTACTTTGACAACACAACACAACACAACACAACATACTGTATATTGTTTCTCACTATTGATCTTTTTTGTATTTATTTATTATTATTATTATTATTATTAATATATTATTATTATTATTATATTTTTGCCCCTAGGCCCTGATGTGGTGGCCTAATCCCCGTAAAAAACCCGTACATACATAATGGACATATATGTATACACACACTCACACACACACACTTAATAGTCTGTCTTTCTGTTCTAATTTCAGTATGGCCTTAACCTAACCTCACCTAACCTAATTAAACCTCACCTAACCTACTTAACCTCACTTAACCTAACCTCACCTAACCTAACCTAACCTAATGTAACCCAGCCTAACCTAACCTCACTTAACCTAACCTAATGTAACCCAGCCTAACCCAACCCAATTAACCTAACCTAACCTCATCTAATCTAACTTAACCTAATCAAGATTCCAGTATTAATTCTCTTCATTATAATAAGCTGCTTAATTTTAATACCCAGATGTCTCTCTCTCTCTCTCTCTCTCCTCCTCTCCCTCTCTCTCTCTCTCTCTCTCTTCCTTCTTATTCCCCATTCTCTCTCTCTCTCTCCCCCCCCCCCCCCCCCCCCCCCCCCCTCTCCCCCTCTCTCTTTTCCTTCTCTTATTCTCACTCTCTCTCCCCCTCCCTCTCTTCCTTCTTATTCTCTCTCTCTCTCTCCTCTCTCCTCTCTCTCTCTCCCTCTCTCCTCTCTTTCCTCTCTTCCTTCTCTTATTCTCATTCTCTCTCTCTCTCTCTCTCTCTCTCTCTCTCTCTCTCTTTTCCTTCTCTTATTCTCATTCTCTCTCTCCTCCTCTCTCTCTCTCTCTCTCTCTCTCTCTCTCTCTCTCTCTCTCTCTCTCGTCACAAGATTGCCAGCGGGTCGTCTCATAACGTCTTACACCATGTTAATCCCAGACACCGTAGCAGTTTCGTGTCGTTTCGTGTGGTTTTTCGTATCATTTCGTGTCATTTCGTATCATATTGGTTTTCGAGAGGTTTCGTTTCGGTTTCGGGGAAGTTTCGTGTCATTTCGTTCAGTGGCAATCTATAGTATTTCGTTGTTCCATTTTGTTCAGTAAGTCTAGAGATCTCACCTTGGTTTTGAACTGGTACAATATATTAACTTATTTTGTTCCTTTATTTTGTATTGTTCCAGTATATATTTCTGTATTAAAGGCTAAGTCATTCCAGGTCCTCTTGTGATTGTTCCAGACCCTTTATATTGTTCCAGGGACCTTATATTTTGTTCCAGACTACTGTATATGCTTGTTCCAGGAGTCACATTGTTCAGTTCTTGTAGGAAATCTTACCTCGTATTGTTCCATTGCCATCACCTGGATATGATAATTAGTCTCATCTGGACATTTGGACACCTGTTAATTAATTTCTCACCTGACATTTGACAAAACACTGACATTTGACACCTTAATTTATTTCACCTGACATTTGGACACCTGTTAATTAATTTCTCACCTGGACATTTGGACACCTGTTAATTAATTCTCACCTGGACATTTGGACACCTGTTAATTTATTTCACCTGGACATTTGGACACCTGTTAATTTATTTCTCACCTGGACATTTGGACACCTGTTAATTTATTTCTCACCTGGACATTTGGACACCTGTTAATTAATTTCTCACCTGGACATTTGGACACCTGTTATTCATTCTCACCTGGACATTTGGACACCTGTTAATTAATTTCTCACCTGGACATTTGGACACCTGTTAATTAATTTCTCACCTGGACATTTGGACACCTGCTAATCAATTACTCACCTGGACATGGGACATATATACAATTCCTTGTATTGGACATTTTCTAAATTATTATATAACTGGATAATTTACCAAAACAAATTAATACGAACGAACATTAAAAAAATTAACTTGTAAAGAAATTGTAACTAATTATCTTTCACTAAAAACAAAGAAATCAATTACTCTAATCACTTAACTGGAAATTGATTAGCTGAGTAATTAGTGAAATACAGATAATGGTGATTAGGTATGTATGGTCCTATGCCGCTATGGTCTTATTGTAAACAAGTATGGTCGCAACCATGGTCGTAAACTCAACTCAACCAACCTAGTATGATCTCAAACTATGGTCTGTAAACTATGGTCCGTAAACTATGGTCCGTAAACTATGGTCCGTAAACTATGGTCCCAAACTATGGTCTGTAAACTATGGTCCGTAAACTATGGTCCGTAAACTATGGTCCCAAACTATGGTCCCAAACTATGGTCCGTAAACTATGGTCCGTAAACTATGGTCCCAAACTATGGTCTGTAAACTATGGTCCGTAAACCATGGTCCGTAAACTATGGTCCGTAAACTATGGTCCGTAAACTATGGTCCGTAAACTATGGTCCGTAAACTATGGTCCGTAAACTATGGTCCGTAAACTATGGTCCCATCCCCAAAGCCTCGACAATTCCAGGCAAAGTTTAGTCAGTCTTTAATTATATAAATTGTGATGATTATTTCATGAGTTCCTCCTCACCCTTCCCCTCACCCTTCCCTCCCTCACCCTTCCCTCACCCTTCCCTCCTCACCCTTCCTCCTCACCTTCCCCCTCTCCCTCTCTCTCTCCTCCTCTCTCTCTCTCTCTCTCTCTCATTACAGTATATAGATTGCTATGGTTATTTGAAGAGCTTCCTTATCCTCTCCCCTTCTCCCTCTCCCTTTCTCTCTCCCTTCTATTTTCCCTCTCCCTCCCCCCTCCTCCCACCTCGAATACTTCTCACGAATCTCATTTCGGTTCCAGCTCGTTAACACACCCCCTCCTTATTCTTTCCCCTTCCCCTCCTACACCTCCTTCCTACCCCTCTACCCTTTCCCCTTCCTCCCTCCCCTTCCCTCCCTCCTTCCCTCATCTCTACCCCTTGATGTTAATGATGTCAGGTTCCTAATTATTCGCAATCCGTCCGTCTCTCTCTCTCTCTCTCTCTCTCTCTCTTCTCTCTCTCTCAGCCAAGCTTCCAGACATTCTTTCACCCCTCTCCCACCTCCCTCCCTCTCCTTCCTTCTCTTTCTTTCCTCCCTCTCCTTCCCTCCCCTTTCTCCTGCTTTTCATCCTCACCTCTCCCCTTTCCCCTTCCTCCTACTCTCCCCCTCCCTACCCTCCTCCTATCAGCCCCCACCCCCCACCCCCTCTCACATCAAGCCATGTTCTCATTTATTTGGCAGGCGGCGGTGCTACATCGTCTGGCTGGGCTGTCCGTAATGGTCTCAACTGGCTGGTCCGTAATGGTCTCAACTGGGCTGGTCCGTAATGGCTCTCAACTGGGCTGGTCCGTAATGTCTCAACTGGCTGTCCGTAATGGTCTCAACTTGGGCTGTAATGGTCTCAACTGAGCTGTGCTGTAATGGTCTGTACAGGACTGTGCTGTAATGGTCTGTACTGGGCTGTGCTGTAATGGTCTGAACTAGGCTGGTCTGTACTGGGCTGGGCTGTGCTGTAATGGTCTGTACTGGGCTGGTCTGCTGTGCTGTGCTGTAATGGTCTGTAATGGGCTGGGCTGGCTGTGCTGTAATGGTCTGTACTGGACTGTGCTGTAATGGTCTGTACTGGCAGGCAATGGTCTGTACTGACTGGGCTGTAATGGTCTGGGCTGGGCTGTGCTGTAATGGTCTGTACTGGACTGTGCTGTAATGGTCTGTACTGGCTGGGCTGTGCTGTAATGGTCTGTACTGACTGTGCTGTAATGGTCTGTACTGGTCTGGTCTGGTCCAATGGTCTGAACTGTGCTGGGCTGGGTTGTGCTGTAATGGTCTGGGCTGCTGCTGTAATGTCTGGGCTGGGCTGTGCTGTAATGGTCTGTACTGGACTGTGCTGTAATGGTCTGTACTGGGCTGGGCTGTGCTGTAATGGTCTGAACTGTGCTGGGCTGGGTTGTACAGTACTGGTCTGGTCTGGTCCGTAATGGTCTGAACTGGCTGGCTCCTGGGTCGCTTACTTCACTATTTCACCATTTTAGAAGCAGAGGCGAGACTGAAGCAATCCAACAAATACTGTATACTGAGAGGTTCACCCGGTAATATTCCCTCTCTCTCTCTCTCGTGAACTAGGAGAGCGGGTCCGGGTGTTGACTATACCACTCACTGTAATAATTTAACCTTCCAACATGGCTGCCAAAATACACTGAGACTCGACTGTGTTGAACAGCAAACACTTAGTGTAATAACTCCCTCCCAGATGGTGTTAGGAGGGACATCACGTGGTGTAGTAGTTCCCTCACAGGTGGTGTTATGAGGGACCTGACGTGGTGTAGTAACTCCCTCACAGATGGTGTTATGAGGGGCCTGACGTGGTGTAGTAACTCCCTCACAGATGGTGTTATGAGGGACCTCGTGGGTGTAATGGCACTCCCTCACAGATGGTGTTATGAGGGGCCTGACGTGGTGCTGGTAACTCCCTCACAGATTGTGTTATAGAAGGACACTCGTGGTGTAGTAACTCCCTCTGAATGGTGTTATGAGGGACCTCACGTGGTGTAATAACTCCCTCACAGATGGTGTTATGAGGGACCTGGCGTGGTGTAGTTACTCCCTCTCAGATGGTGTTATGAGGGGCCTGACGTGGTGTAGTAACTCTCTCACAGATGGTGTTATAAGGGGCCTGACGTGGTGTAGTAACTCCCTCACAGATGGTGTTATGAGGGACCTCACGTGGTGTAGTAATTCCCTCACAGATGGTGTTATGAAGGGCCTGACGTGGTGTAGTAACTCCCTCACAGATGGTGTTATGAGGGGCCTGACGTGGTGTAGTAATTCCCTCACAGATGGTGTTATATGAGTTAGGTGTGGTCCCAGGCCTTCCTGCCGTAGACGGATTAACACATCGCTGGTTGTTGTTGGGTCTCACGGGCCGTTATCACTGGGTACCTGGGACCTCACTGTGTGAAGGTTAACTTGGGTACGACTCGGCTGTTACTGTTGAGTTGTTCTCACTGTCTTAAGCACTGTTCACTACTGTTCACCTCTGTTCAACACTGGTTCCATTCCTTTCCTAAATGAAATTATAACTTCTGGCGAGAACTTGTTGATATTCCGGTTGGGAGGATGTATGTATGTATGTATCTGTGTGTGTGTGTCTGCATGTATATATTTATGTATGTATCTGTGTGTATGTATGTATGTGTATGTATGTATATATGTATGTATGTATGTGATATTGACCGATACCATATATGAATAGTTATAAAAACTGTTCATGTGAGACAACAAATTATTCTGGCCAACACAAAACACATATTGTCCCTTTGTTTATATGTACTGTACTGTATAGAGGTACGGGTATATAGCAGTTACTCCAGGGGCTCGTGTTCATTAGGCGTACGTCTCTCTCTCTCTCTCTCTCTCTCTCTCTCTCTCTCTCTCTCTCTCTCTCTCTCTCTCTCTCTCTCTCTCTCTCTCTCTTTGGTTAAGTGTGTTTATGAGGTTGTGTTTACTAGTGTGTGTTTACGAATGTGTTTTTCCAAGCGTGTTTACGAGTGCGTGTTTACAAAACGTTTTTGGTCTGTTAAAAAAAATTAATATATATATATATATATATTTATAGTATTGTGTTTCTGTTTGTTTGTTTGTTTTTGCAACTGGCTGAAGTATTTTTTGTGTAAATATGTAAACAGGTAAGTAAATCAAGGTGTGTGTGGGTTGTGATGCACTTGTTGTAAATTAAACATCGTGTAGTGTTGTAAATGCAAGGTGTATTTACGTCTGTTTACTTTGTATTATTATTTACATTTTAATACTATTTTTTTTACGTTGGGGAAAATTATGTAAAAATTATTATTGTTGTTTTTTTATTATCATTATTATTTATTATTATTGTGTTTATTATTATTATTATTATTATTATTATTATTATTATCATCATCATCATCGTCATTATTTAAAGCACAATAACCGGCATCAACATACATTAGTTGTTTCCAGGTTACATAGAGGAGTGTTTGGATCGTTAACAGCGTGTTGTGTAAGAGTTCAAGGCACGACCGATACTGTTGAGGTTCAGTGTCTCACCAGACCGAGGCGTGTGTGTGTGTGTGTGTGTGTGTGTGTGTGTGTGTGTGTGTGTGTGTGTGTGTGTGTGTGAGTTGGCTTCTGTCAGCGAGAAATACCAGCAGCCATCGTAAACACGCCTTGGTTAACGCTGCTGGATGGAGTTTATTTGTGTTGTCGCCTCGCCTCGCCTCGCCTGCCCGTCCGTCCGTCCGTCCGTTAGTTGTCCACACGATAACTTGAACAAATAACAAAGTATTTTAACCAAACTTGATGTGTTGATATATTACAACAAGATCTGACGACAGTTTGATTATTATAAGTGTTTCTTAAGGTGTTTCTATACGATAAATAAGTCTTAATTAGTTTTCACCTGAAGATTAATCACCGTAATCCTACCTGGTGAGTTACCTTTAGGGTGTTTAATCTTCAGGTGTAATAAGCTGGGGGGCGAATCATCAGGTGAAATAAGAACATAACATAAGAACATAAGAAAGTGGGATACTGCAGGAGGCCGACTGGCCCATACAGGGCAGATCCCTTTCACACCCATCCCAGCACTTCCATGTGCCTATCCAACTTCGTCTTGAAGCTCCCTAGCGTCCCCGATCCTACTATAGCACTCGGTAGCCTATTCCACATATCACAACTCTATTACCAAACCAGTGCTTACATATATCCTTTCTGAATCGGAATTTATCTAATTTAAAGCCATTTGTTCTAGTTATTTCGTTATTACTGAGCTTCAGAACATCTTCCATTTTACCCTTGTTAATCCCACTTACCCACTTGTACACCTCTATCATATCTCCCTAACTCTACGCCTCTCTAATGAATGTAAGCCTAAGCTTTTCAGCCTTTCTTCATATGGAAGGTTTCTAATATTATGGATCATTTTTGTCATTCTTCTTTGTACTCTCTCCAAAGAATCTATGTCCATTCTATAATAAGGACACCAGAACTGAACCGCATAATCCATGTGTGGCCTCACTAATGCTAGGTAAAGTTTCAAGATAACGTCAGCAGTTATAAGCTTGAAGAGGCGAATCATCAGGTGAAATAAGCTGGAAAGGACAAATCACCAGGTGAAATAAGCTTGAAGGGGCGAATCACCAGGTGAAATAAGCTTGAAAGACGAGTCATCAGGTGAAATAAGCTGGAAAGACGAGTCATTAGGTTTCCCCCTTGTTTTTAAAGTACTTTTTTTACGCATTAATAAGTTTAAAAAATAATAGATAAATAAACAGTAAATTTTAACACGAAGCGATAAATTTTATGCTTGTCAGCCCAAATTGCGCTTGGCTGGCCTACTGGATATTCATGTATAGTGTATTGTGTGTATAGTGTATTGTGTGTGTATGGTGTATTGTGTGTATAGTGTATTGTGTGTATAGTGTATTGTGTGTGTATTGTGGGTATTTTGTATTGTGTGTATAGTGTGTGTGTGTGTGTGGTGTACTGTGTTTTGTGTGTATAGTGTATTTGTATAGTGTATTGTGTGTATACAGTATTGTGTATAGTGTAGTATATTGTTTTGTGTGTATAGTGTATTGTGTGTAGTGTATTGCGTATAGTGTATTGTGTGTATAGAATGTTGTGTATTTGGTGTATTTTGTGAATAGCGTAGTGTATTATGTATATTGTTGTATTGCGTATATAGTGTAGTGTATTTGTGTATGGTGTTTTGTGTGTACAGGGTATTGTGTGTATGGTGTATTGTGTGTACAGGGTATTGTGTGTACAGTGTATTGTGTGTTTTGTGTTTGAGGATGTGTATAATAATAGTAATAATAATAATAATCATAATAATTAACGGTTTATTGAAAGAGCATGGCAAGCAGAAGGCTGATAATATACAGTTACATAATTGGGGAATGGGTCACTTGGGGGACAAATAATATACAAGTAACATAAGTGATACAAATATAATAACTAGGTGGGGAGAAGGTCATACTACAGGGCATTTCAACATAGTGACAGTGTAAAAAGGTAAGATTTAATGGGAGTGAATACAATTGTTGATTACAAGTTATTGATAATTTTTACAATGGTTGGGACTGGGCTGTTCTTATAGCGATCAGTACGTGCTCGTATGGACTGGATGCGGTTGTGGTGTCCAACAGCAATTCACGGACGAGGGATCTCAGGTGGTAGTAGGAGCAAGTATGTGTGTATAGTACTTACCTGTTGTCTTGGCACTTTCCTGTTACTGTATACATTTGTTTTGATACAGTTAAACCTCCATATAACGGCCTTTTCATGGTAGACC